TCCCGACATCTTTGAATCTCTGAGTGGAGACAAAACAACACCACTTCTCAGTAGCCATCACCTAAAGATGAATACAAATTAACAGTGTGGAGTGCAAAGGTGGTGCGACACCGAATTCGGTATCGCGGAGACGCAAACTCAGCCTTATCCTGAAATGAGTGAAATTCTCAATGAATTGTGCAGTTTTGCCAGGTGCAGTCATATTTCAAGATGATAGGCACACTTTGAAATTGTAGTCCTTCCACCCTCTGCGTGCACCGATTGACAATGACAGCTACACAAGCCATCCCCTTAATGATTAACGCTGTTTTAACATCGAAGGTGGAGGACAGGGCTTTGGAAATCAAGCCTTCACATTTACCGAACTGACCATCAAGTCATGTGCTTTTCTCCCCCAACATTCAACACCTGTAGTTAAGTCTAAACGAATATGTTTGGGTTCACAAGACATGATCTCTTTAAGTTGATACCCTCTATTCTAGTCTACCGGTCCAACCGGCGAGCTCCTCACACTACTTCTTCGAAAGATGGGAATTTCGTGTTCTTTCCAGTCCCATCGCTTGTTGCGACAGTTATTGCAATTGACCTTTGAAAGCGCATAATGTGAGAAGTTGGTGCCAGAAAGGCGAAGGGGGAAAGAGTGGAGCGCCTTCATCGGAGCGCCTTATTTGATTAGCGATAATGAATGGGTGCGCAAAGCGGTGCTACACGCCGATTCGCTGTGCCGATGGAGCTCACCACGGAGTGAGCAGACAAAATTCGAGTGCGCAAGCCACCTCGCCTTAGTTGCCCCGTCCCCTTCGCCACTCACCATGATTCACAAACCGGGTAAGTGGAAATGATTTGCCCCAGACTCTCACTCTTGCTAATTCTATCTTCACCATCAATGACGCCACGCTCTTTGGCTCTGTCTCAGAACACAATTAATTTAAAAAATAAAGTTGGTTGAAGTGTATGTAATACCTCTTGGCATAGAGAGTGATCGAGATGATTTTAGTAATTCATCATGTCCCCTGTCGTACCCTAAACAGCACCAAACGCTATTTGAATGTCTTTTGTATTTTTGTATTTTGAAATTCTTGTTCCATGACTGATTTGTTGACAGGTCGTGGTTCGCTCGGAACCACGAACTGGGCAACTAAGAGGCGGCAATGGACTTTGTTGCATAGACAACAAAGGAGACAAGAGAATTTTGACTGGGAGTGTCTTCTCCAAGACTTAGTAAGCTCCAATTCGCAACCACAATATTCACTTAAGTAACGTCCTCAACTGGTGGCAAGCCACGACAGTCCAAACCAGATGACATATTTGCGGAGATTCAGCGAGTCACTCGTGTAAGGTTGTGTCCCAATAGACGGGTGCATAAGGCGGTTTGGAGTGAAGTCCTCCTTTTTGACGCCACCACCACTTGGCAATGCGCATCTGATAAGTAGACGACACCGTTGGACTTTGCGATGCCTCCACGAATCTTGTCCCACCCAACTCCACCTGTACGTGTCTCGACCATCGTCCTCACAATTTGTCACTCCTCTCACACACAGCAACGAACAACTAAAGATTGTTGCTTAGCGTTTGAGAGACTGGAAAGTCTGTGGAACCCTTCAAAACAGTTAAGTTAACACAAAAAATATCCACTTTCCTCAACATATACCAAGGAGAATTTTAGAAAAAGAATATCAACCTTTTCTTTGAGAAAATTAAGCTATAGTCTTTTTTTTCTTTTAGATTACTATGGTGAGTGGAGACAGCCCTACCTTCCCCCGTACCTCCCGCGCCCCCCCCTCCCCCCGCCCTCGTCTGCGTGAGAACTGCCAAATAGCCGTCAAACGTCACTTATAAAAAAAAACCTTCTCATCACAACCTACTTAATGTTAATTTACAAAATGTTTTAATCCTATTCTCTTATCTTCTACTCATTTCCTCTAGTGAAAGGTAACTTTACGACGGATACCGAGCGACTGTAACACGCTAAACGGATGAAGCCGCATAACGCTTCTAATTGACACTGCCATTTGACAACATTTTAATGTCCTGACTTAAAACCAATCTTTGCATTCTAGGCTATTGTGCGGCCCAAACTATTCCCCACCTATCCCTTGTTGATAGTAAGTACTCAAAAAATAGCTCTCTGGTCGACGATACGCTCCGTGATTAAACAGACACCCAACAATCTCCAAAAGTTCCAGACTAAAAGCACAAAACTTTGCCTGTTATTCTTGTCATCAGTGCCTTTGCATGTCTTCCTTTCTCCTTTTAGCTTTGGACGAGCCAATGTGCGACTTGTCATGCAAGTTATCCACTCCTAAATTATTAGTATTTCTCTAACAAGTTGACAAGTAGCTCCACTTCCTCCCTTTAAACTAATGCAAAACTGATGTTTCTGTTTCAGGCATTGCTCTCAAGAAATACATGAAAAAGAAAGGTAATTCTATTTGTACATTTAGCGCTAAAAGGGAGTGCACCTCCTCCTGAAAGAACTCTTGATGACAAGATGCCCTGCATGGCTATTGTCTTCAGGGGCTCGACCCCTCTTTCAGTGTTGATTAAATGTGCGAAGATGTGGAAAGGCTATTCGCCTAACCCTTTCGACATTACTTTGCTATCCAGGCAAGAGTCCTTGCTGCTGCTGTTGTTGCTGCTGGAGTGACTCCAATTCGAGCTCTACCTCCAGATCTTCCTGCTCCTGCAAATCACCATCTTCTTCCTCAAGTTCGTCTTCAACTTCATGTCCGTCTTCGTCATCTTCATCATCATCTTCTTCTTCATCAAAATCATCATGTTCGTGCTCCTCACCTTCTATATGCACCTGCTCATCGACAACATCGTCATCATCTTCGTCATCATCGTCTTCATCTTCGTCATCATCTTCGTCGACTTCCTGTCGTTGCAGTTGTCATCAGCACAGATCAAAGAGCACAAAGCGCTGTAAGGGTCAGTGTTCCTTTACTGCACCACCTCAAGTTTCGCGCTGTCGCCAGCCCCACATAGTCATTTACCTTTTTTTATTTTAAATTTAGATAAAAAGGGTAAGTGCAACCAACCGGGTGTTTCTTTAAGAACATTCAACATCATTGCATTTTAAGGGCATAAAAAGAAGCCATTGCATCGCTCGTTATCAAGGTTATGTACGCTTCAAGTGCGGTTTTTTTGTCAAAAAATGCATTTGAACAGGAGATCTTAACTATCCGCAACTCACAGCTCAAAGGGATACCGTCCCTTCTGTGAGGTCTAACCGGCCAAGATCAACAAACTGCACCCTCAACTGTAGTTGTGCCAACCACATTGGCTCAAAAATAACACGTCAAAGTGGAGAACACGAAGGCTCAAAGCTCGACTCCCAAAATCCAAATCGCATGGCTCAGAGGAGGGCAACCAGACGAGGCAGTCGAACCCACAGTCAGCATAACTCATTTAGCCCGAGGAAGTTGGATGCAACCTCCTCCACCTTCCAAGCTGTAGTCTTAGGCATCATCCACTCTGTTAAACATTGGTTAACTCAATTATTCTTTAATTTTCTTAAATGCTCTGCCAGCATTATCACTATTATTATTATTTGGTTAAATTTAATTTTGAAAATGAAATAATCAAATCTGCTTAATGAGGTGTTTATCTGTAGTAAATGCTACTTCTTTAATTTTTAGACAAAACTATCAAGACCAAGCACTGTTCAAGCTCAAAGCGAAAAGGTAACCCAACTTTTCTTTAATCCCAAACACAAATTGTCGTGAGTTGCGTCAATGCGGTTGAAACTGCCACCGTTTCCTTGTAGAATCGCACTGTCGACCACGGGCTCACAGCTCCAGACGATAAAGTAAGGGAAGGAACCGATTCAAGTCCCTTCATTTTCCAATTGTTCTTACTTGTAATTCTAATCATTGCTTTAGTCTCAAAGTAACTTCGCATTTTCATGCGAGTGGGGAGGAGTCTGATTAACTAACTCATCAAACTGTAATGCTCAGACTCAGTTCCCATCGTCTACACGCAGAATTCATGCAATTGTCAAAGTGTTTTAAACGAAATTGACAGCTCGGGGCATAGCAATATGCCGTGAAATTCACAAAGGCCACTTTTCAAGTTGGCAGTTCTTTTAATGACTAAAGAGTTGACATCAGCATTTGTTTTTGGCAAAACTAAGGCCTTTTCATGGAATGCGCTTTCTTCCACCCCTCTTTTGTAGGGATTTGAGAATGATTACACTCGAGGGGCACGAAGACTACCGGAGTTAACACCCACATTCCCATTGACAAGCTTAACCGCCCACTTTCATACACTTTTCCACCTTTCGCCAGTTGTGTTAGGATTAATATTTGGAGCTGGTATTAAATGTTTTGGCAAATTCCATTATCTTCCTTATCAAAGTCACTCAAATTACAAAACCTTCTTTAGGCAAATAAAACCATTCTACTAAAGTTTGTAAGTAGTATCACCGAACATAAAACGGAAGGCAGTTAATTGTTGTAAGGATTTAAGGTCAAATCAGTTAGAATGGAGATGAGGGAGTTGTCAGCGAGTGAGTGCATATGATTTGATGGGTCACAGTCAGCATATAACGAATGCCAAATGAGCGTTTACTTACAATTTGCAGGCTATTAAATCTGGTGCAATGATGTGTCTGGCATGATTTCGATGCCACGCACTTGTCGTTGCAATGACATTTAACTGATTCGCTTTAAGTAATTTGATTGAATGTGTTTCCTTAATGATGATAACTTGGATTTAGATATATGACGCTGACAACTTAAAGCATCAAAATTCTGTAATCATAAAATTTATTCCTCATAGCGGAGACGGTTACGTAACGCAGATTGCACCACCATTTTGCGTAAATATGCTTTAAAGCTATAGCTGAATTGCATTTTGTTAGCACGTTTGGGTTTTTTTAGTCATCTTTGGTATAAACTCTTGTATGACACTTCGCCTTTCGTGTATGGCTTTTTTGTTCATTCATCCGCTATGTTACATCTGTCCTTCAATGAAACGAAAGGGCCGATTAAAACGCAAATGCAAGCAGAAAGGAGAAGTGGTAAACAGGTTCTAATAGTCTAATAGGTACGAATATGATCCTCAGATGGCTATTTGCACTCCTTCTTTGCGAGTCATCAGTATTTTTATAGCTGTTCATTCCTAAATTTTGACTGCACAGCACTCCTTCACATCTCCACCTCACCACTGACCCAATCTTCACATAAGCTTTTGCTAGTGAATGCAAAAAAGAATCAAGTCGATGAAGGTTCTAAATGACACCGTGCCAGGGCTCATAAAGAAACAAGTTGATTGGGCTAAAAACGGTGCTTTGCAAGTACTCAGGGCTTGAAACGACCCACGAAAAGCGAGCATGCTCAAAAGTTGCAGAACTTAACGACTTGGTAGGTAACAATAGGATTGCCGAACGTGAGAGCTCCAAACCTTCAAGGTGCTAGTCAATGCGCCAATAAGTGACTAAAAGGCGCTAACCACTGAAGCCACAGACTCGGTTAAACTGCTGCAAGCCAAAACTCTGACACGTTTGAGTAGAAATGTTGTTGTAGCCTGCCCGAGTGCAGCCTTCTTTACAACACCCAAAGGCGGACCTGCGGTAGCGATTAGTGCTTCCATTTGAGTCTTTTAAATGCAATTAAAAGCGCGAAAAATTTGCTGTATTTAAAGCCTGTGAAGCACAGTCGTTAATTGGAAGAGAAAACTGACGTCGCTCGAGGTACACGCACTAACACACCCACCCACACATACGCACTCCTGAGAGCCTAGTTAGTGGTGAAGTGATCACTCTACTCTGCGAGTTGTCACAGTTCCTTCTTTCACAAGACACGCAACATGGCCTACGGTCCAGGATCAAGTGAGTTGCCCATCCGACACCCTCCGTCCCCTCATTCGAGTCACCTCTTATTCTCCCATCTTGCAGAGTGAAGCATTTTGCTACCTTTAAATTAGTAATTTATTGATACAACGAAGTAAGAAATAATTTTTAGATCTCCTCGGCAAATATGTGCCTCGAGATTACTTCCAAAAGATGTGTAAAGGAAAGCGTAAGTGTAAATCAGTCAGTTCTTAATGATCACTCTGCCTCGCATAACCCACAATGAAATGTTTTAGTCGGTTGCTTGTTGAGGTACAAAATCCACTGCTTTACTCCTCTCTCCCCACCTTGACTCCCGTGCCTTAAAAACGGTACCCCTAACTCCTCTTAACACTCCAAAAGGAAAACCAACCAGCACAGGACCTAAAAATTTAGTTCGAGAAGCTGGAAACAAAGCCGTTAATGCTTACATTTCTCTAAAATCTTACACTTTTTAAAAAGTGGCACTTAATTGGACCAAAAAATATGCGTTTATTTCTTAGAAAACTGCAACGAGCTAATACCCAAGCGTCCTCTCTTCCAGTCCGTCGATGGTAAGTGAATTGCATTTTTGGTGGTGGTTAAGTCGAGCGACAAACGAATAGCGGATAGCTCTTTGGTAAAGAAATAGGCAGTTTAAATCCTAAGTCATACCAGAGCTTGTACTTGCATCCAAATGAAAATCCAACACCACAACCTTGTTGGGTGCAATAAATGGCGGAAAAGTACCCGAGAGGAGGTTCGCCTCGAGACCTCAAATGACTAAAGCCACTTTAAGGACTCATGCTTAACACACCCAACTGTCTTTATTGCTTTTAGAAATCGACTTTGACAAAGATGGTGCGTCACTCCTCTTCTTCGCTAATCTAATATAAAGTTGCATTTTCCTTCTGCATCAGCGCCCCTCCCACCCCTCCTCCCTCCTGTCTTATATCTTCTTCTACCACCTGAACACCATTTTTAAGTCGTTTACAGCATCGACATCAGAATGTGGTGTTATCAGACCTTTGTCAAACCTCCTATCACTTCATTTTAGCGCTTCTGTTAAGTTGGTTATGTCTAACTCCACCGCATGATATTTTTCAGCTCTCATGATAAAACGTGACAGAAACGGTAAGTAGTGAATTTTAGAGCTTTCCATAAATACAAGATGAAGTCAATTGCAAAGCAATTCCTGGAATCGTAGGTCAACCCCTGTCGCATGCGGATGCAATGAAGACGCGTGGCAAAACCTATCTTTCGAGATCCGTGTCAGCTTATCCTCCTGTGAAAGAAAAGCCAGCTAGTCGAAAGGCCTCTTTGGACTCTGGAAGTTCCACAAGTCGCTCCGATGCCTCGGACTCCGAGACGATGAGGAGGTTACCACCACGACGGAGGTCATCAAAGTCACAGGTCCGGCGGACACCACCGAGAAATGTGTCTCCGAATTACAGCATTGATAGAATGCTTGCCAGCAGTCCCTACATTGAGACGGATTATCCGGAAGCACATTGTAGGTACCTGTTCTCCAGTTGACAAAGCTTTTTGTCTTTAAGACAAAAATGCCCATCGCACCAAACAATAGCAAAAAAAATGATTATGAAATGAATAAAATCGCCTGCGTCCGATGCTAGACAGTTGGCACGCTTTTTGACGCATTTGGCATGGGCAAATGAATGCCTAGCCAAACCCAAACTTCCATCGTAGTCAACCTCAAACAACTGACATGCCACACGCCACTGAATCATCCATCGAAAGTGGCGTTCTTCATTACAAGGCAAAGCAAAACCAAGGGCAATAACTAATTATTTTTAAACGTTTAGATGAGAAAGGACCGAGGAGAGTGCCATTGGAGATAAATGGTGAGTGAAATACCGTCCTCCACTTTCCTCGCTCCGTCCTTCATGTCTTTGCTCGGTCTTATGCGCACACCTACTTTTGCATTTTAGGCGAACCAGTCTACTACGGGAATGCACGCCTCACACAACTAGCGAAAGGTTGTTTCCCAGTTTATTGCTTGTCTAGGAAATGAGGTGGTTCCAGATGAATGGGTCAAGAGTTCTGCTGCCTCGCTTCACATGTAGTGGAGATGAGTGAAGGAAGGAATGCTTTAGTGCAGAAAATGAATTGATATCACATGGCTACGAAAGAGCGTTTACAAAACAATGCTTTTTAAGTAAATATTTTTTTTTCACCTCCAAGACCACTGAATGAGTCGTTAAATTTCGTAAGTAGTGGGAAAATCTCACGATTAGCGCCTCGATGATTGAGATGTGTCAAAAGGTCACTGAAGGACAGAAATTTGAGAATCTTTAGGGGAGAGTGGAGTGAGGTGGTCGCAAACTCTTCTTCTTCATCCCCAAAACAAGTCATTTTTGCAAATCTTTTTTAT